TGAAAGGACTAAGCACATTGATATCAGGTATCATTTTTTGAGAAGTGAGAAAAGAATCAGGGTGAAGAAAGTGGGACCGGCTGACAATCCTGCCGACATGTTCACTAAGCCAGTTCCACAGAGCAAGTTCCAACATTGTTTGGACTTGCTAAATATCACAAGCTGTTAAACTGCAGAAGAGAAGAGAGCGGGTACATATGGCACCAAGGAGGTGCATCTGGAAATTTGTGAGAGAATTCAAGTCAAGGTGGAGATTTGTTGGAATGCCTTGAATTCTAACCTATTTGACTAGTCAACAATGGCTGCACCTGTCTGGAAAGTGGCTGGAAACCAGCTGGAAAGTGGCTGGAAGGAGGCCTAGACAATTGGGCAAGTGGGTTGCTAGTTGGTGAGGTGGGCCAGCTGTATGACAGCAGTATTGTGGGCTGTCAACTGCTCAGTTCCCACTGGATTTAGGCAGCCAAGTTGGCTGCCATCTTTCCAATAAATAGGTTCATTTGTAAGGCATTCAGACATAGATCAGTCACCTAGAAAATCCCTCTGTAATCTCTCTCCTCAATCAGTAAAAGCTCTCCTCTCTTCTGTTAGGTGGACGTAGCCAACATATTGTTGGTGAACCACGTTAAATCTGTGTGTGTTTGTTCTTTCGTTTCTTTATTGTTTGTTATCTTTCTTACATCTGTCATAACACGAACCTTCAGATCAATAATATGGGATTTCACTGCATGAGCTTTAAATTAGGCGCAGAGACCAACCTCTATGAACTCACTAAGACAGATTCTGCCCTTGTGACAACTGGATTAATTTTGATCCAAGAATCAACTCAATAATAGTGACACATTATTGACACCCTCAACTTTAGATAGACGAAAATGAAAGGAAATGTGCAAAAATGCTCAGGCAAGGCATCATCCGGCTAACAATATCTCCTTATTCTTCCCAGGTACTGTTAGTTCAAAGAAAAATGGCACATAGAGATTTTCTGTAGATTACCTAGAATTAAACTTGAAATAAATCAAAGATGAATTTCCGACTCAATTGATGAAGTTGTAGATTAGTCACATGGGGCTCAATATTTCATCAAGTGAGACCTCTTATCAGGATATCACCAAGTCTGAGTGGATCTCAGGTGGTGGTGGAGACGGGCTCTCAACATTCTTAATATTGTCTCTGAGGCAAGATGAAGGGGCATATCAGGTGACAATCTCTGCAAAACAAATTACATCCTACGCATCACAAGTGTTTCCCTTTGATCTCTGGTGTTCTGTAATCAGATGTTGTGAATGATCATGTATCTTAAAGCCCTCCCTTCATCCAACTCACAGAGAAAACAACCCAGATAATTATCCACTTTTAACAATTCTAAGAATAAATAGCACTAGTAAACTTGAAAGGTTGCTATGGAAGAAATGAGTACAGATTTTACATTACAAGTCAAACATGTTAATTATACTCCCTCCATCCCCATGCAATAGTTTAAATTGTCCTTTTCAGTCTCCTAAATGAACGTTTCACCATTTTCTTACTATTATTTAATGTTTTTTTAGATGAATAATGGTCAAAGTTCATCAAACTTGAATCTTGAAGTCAAATGGATGAATACAATCTAGTAATTTATAAGCTTGTTTTCAACACAAAAAATGCAAATACCTGCAAATGTCCAATCCAATTTAATATTATAACAATGTTTGGCCAAGATGCGAAAGAATAAAATTGATTTTTATCCTGCCAAAAAGTGGCCAGCATTGTAGTGTCTAGCGCATCATCTATATTCTCATCTTAGAAGTTTTGAACTAATTCATCAAGTTTAATAGATGCTAGTAATCCTAGTATGAAGCCAATTGTACATATCCTCTCATCTTACTAATGAAGTGCTCCAACATGAATCAAGGTCGAACCATAGTTATCACAACTTCACTGATGTACCCCTGGATGACTCCACCAAAATCCCAACTCTCCCAACATATCCAAAAGTCTTCTTTCTTTTCTTTTATTCAAATAAAGTCCTCCCCCACTCATTTCAAAGCCCTTGGCCGAAAATGAGAGAAAATAAAAGCCAAAACTTTTGTTTGTTTCTTTTAAAGTCCTTTTACCCAAATAATGTCTTTCCTCTTTTTTTTCCTACAACTAGGGACTAAAATCCCTTCCATTTTATCCATAAATCAGGCCCCTTTTTCAACTATTAACAAATGGAAATCACCTTTCTCACAATCAGGATAGAAGTCATAAAGTTGAATAGTGAAAATTTGTCCTTTTGTTGACTTATTTCACATCCTTGCACCCATGATCTTTCCTTGTCATTTCTTACCATATAAGGCCAATACACCATCCATCACCCATCTTTGTTTGTCCCCTCTTTTTAGCCAGAATATCCACCACAATCATCAAAGGATTTCATTCATTCTTTGTGATTTTTGCCTCCACAACAGGA